TAGAGAGAGGTAAGGGCTTGACTCTGTGTACACAAACTTGGAGAGAGACAATAGGGTTGATGAGAGATGACAGACCTGATTACCTACCCATCTCCATATACTGTTGTTATAAAGGATTTTATCGCTGGAGAGACAAAGCCAGTTTGAGAACTGAAACTAAGCATCCTAGAGATGCTTAATGAGATCCAACTTGAGCACTGAGTCCCATTGGGTAGAGTGGTTTTCTTTAATCTTTACTAGTGATCTGTAGAGAAGCCTATGGGAACCCCATAAAATTGGGCCCCTAATATAGACCATGGCATGTTGTGACCTATTTATAAAACTTTTCTTAAAAGGTTACATAATATATTCGTCCCAAATAGTATATAATTAGAATTTATAATCCCTATTCCATGATGATATCTTTGAGCTCTAACAGATCTTAAATTAATGCTTTAAATTAAAGCTATCTTTATATAGGTGGGGGGGGTTTAAGCATATTAACAAAAATTTTTAAAATATGATTAAATAAAAAAAACTGATTTAAATTTTAAAAAATCAGATTTATATTTTTTTTTAAATCATTGATTTTTCCTCCACTTTGCCCCTTTCTCTTCATTGATGTATCAGAAGAAAAGCTTCAAGTTCATTGTCCCAGATATATAGGAAGAAGGACCAGATGTGAAAGATGTGGTATAGTAAGGTGCAACTTTTTATTATAACTCATCAGGTTCTTTCTCATTCATCTGGGAAGGCTGCTGTTAATCCCCCTCCCTCCCAAACCTGGTCCCTGGCCATTGCTGAGATGCTATCTCCTCTGCCCATGTCATGAGTAATGGTCTGGGGAAAAGGGGTTATTTTTTCCTGTAACAGACTTTATGGACCACAGTATTGTATTTCCTAGCCTCTTCAGGTAGTGCCTTCCATAACTCCAGTTGCAACTAAGCACACCCCATCCTTAATGGGAACATGTACTGCACATTTGCTACCTACTAGACAACTTGAGCTGTATCCCCTGCTTTTCCCAACTAGGTCCTGGTGCTATTTTGACAGGAAAAAATAAGAAAGTGTCTTCTCTCATTAGTCTGTCAGTGAGCTTGGTCCAGCCTCAAAAGAGGACAGCTCATGCATTGCCCGTAGCAGACCACCACAAAT